AGAGTCAGAATACTTTGATGACTTTATAATTCAAAAAAAAAAAAAAGAAAAAAACGAAAAAATAAAAATAAAAAATTCTCTCCATTTTTATGCTTTTTTTCTCCTTCTCCATAATGCATTTTATTTCAAGGTACAAAAAAAAAGAACAAAAATAAAGAGTAAGGAGAAATTTCATGTTGTTAGGTGAATTCTGATAGTTTGGTTTATTGATAGTGCGATAAAAATGAAAGCCGGAAAAATTCTAAAATTTAAGAAAAATAAAAAGAAAACTTTTTTTTCCAATCGTTTTATGCAAGATTTGATATTTTATCATTCAACCGGTAATGTACATAATAGCGTTTTGTGTGTATATTTGAATATTTTAAAATTTTGGTTGCTCTAAAATTGAAATGATGATGAAAAATTTTGATTTTCATGTTGTATTTACATTTTATAAATGTTCCAATTTTAGAAAATCAATGAATTTCTAGTCTAATACTCGTATTTAGTTTATTCTACGTTTTTGCAATAATGTCAACCTAAATTTTAATAAGATGTATTATTCACAGAAAAAAATGAATTAGATTTTTCAACTAATCGTAATTAGCTGGTTTCAAATTAGGTGTTTCATATAAACAATTAGAAGTATTGACAACTTCTTTAGCTGTTTTAAAATTCACTATTAGCTGGCTCAACTATTTGGAATTAGTTGAATGCAATATTAAAAAGATTAGGTGATTTGTCTACTCATTTAGATGTATTATCTAAAATAAATAGTTGAAAAAGTTCAACTAATTTAATTAGATATTTCACCTAAACATTTAGTTATTTTAGAAAAGAAAACAAAAAAATAAGTTTACAGTTTTTATGTAAATTCCTAATCAATGACTACATTTTTAAATATTTTGACTACAACTTTAGTTGATTCAGCTATTTCATTTTATATCAAAAGATTGACTAAAACATTAGCTGAACTACCGAAAACATTAGTTGAGTTATGAAAAGATCAAAATGTTTTATTTAGAAAAAAAAAACAAAGTACCGCTACATTTCTTCTTCAATAACTACTTTTCTAGATATTTTAGCTATAACTTCAGTTAATTCGGCCACATTATTTTACTTAAAAAGGAATTAACTAAAACATTAGTTGAAATATCGGAAACATTAGCTGAATTTAGAAAAAAACACTTGTTTTATCAAGAAAAAAATTCAAAGTACCGCTACTTGTTTTGTATTCTAATTTTTAAAGTATTTGAAAAGAAGCTAGTATATGGTGAATATTGGTATAGTAAACAAGCATAGTTTACATTTTCAAGATTTTGTGAAATAAATTTTGGAACTTCTTTGGTAAGTTTTTATATAATCAAGTTATTTTGTTTAACTAACCAAAAATATTCAATTGTATTTTAGATCGAATTTTGACTTCGAGAAAACATTTTCACTTCACAAAGGAAGAACCAGAAAAACATTAAGCTTTTATCAATTTTATAACAAGATATTCAAAAGTAATTTGAAAAATAAATTTTGACTAATTTTTAAAAGTTCTATAACAATTATTATTTTTGATTTATAGATTGTAAAAATTATACTACGACTATACTATAAATAGAAGATAATACTATTTTGAAACCACAAACGATAAAATTTTACATACGTGGCCGAAACAAAAAAGCAATGGCAAACTTCAATTTATTGTAGATGGACAAAAATCTTTTGCATTACTTGTTACGAAACGTGATAAGAAAATTTTTTATTATATAAAGGAGGAATACTAACTTGCCAAAAAATTTAACAATACAGAACCTATCATCATTGTTGTTGGCTGTTTAGAAGAACGTTCATGTTTTTACATTAAAAATAATGTGAAATATCTAAAAAAATAAACAACAAAATAAAATTACTCGTAAATGAAGCAAAACTTAATTTTTATTTTATAACATTCTTTTATTTTCAGGGTTAAATCTAAATAAATTTAGAGAAGAGCCTAATTTGTTTAGATACTTTTTCTAATATAATAGGTAAAAACCCTATTATAATTAACTAAAAAATAGTTATATTTTCTATTCTCTAACTAAATAATTAGGTATATTATCTATTGTTGAGAATATTTTTTAACTATTTATTTAGGTGAAATTCCTATTTCTTTAGTTAAATTTCAAAAAGGTTTTAAAATAAATCAACTAAATGATTAGGTGAACCGACTATTTGCTTAGTTGCAATCCACCTAAATTTTTAGGTATTTTAGCTAGTATTGTAAATAAATCAGCAAATTTATTTGGTTAATTTTCCTAATTATTAAAAAGTAAATTCAGCTAATTTAAATTAGGCAATGTAGCTAAATAGTTTAGGAGGCTGAAAATCAAGCATTTCATTAGGTGATTTATACTATTGTTTTAGCTAAATGTTCTACTCTTTTTTTTCTGTGATTGAAAATTTTTTTAAAATATTAAATTTAATATTTCATTCATAATTTAAAATTCATTTATAATTTTAAAAACTGATTTTTTTTTTATTATTGTTCCCTTATGTTACGTACAAATTTAACAATAAATAATTTGCATTGCAAAAAAAAACTATTTTATTTTCATGAAGTTCAATAGGAATGTAATAAAATATTAGTAATTTAATTCAATTAAATTTTATGCTCTAAATGAAAGTTTTAAAAGTATAATTTTCGATTTTTCAAAGTTACAAATCCCTATGAATATTTAGAAATTTCATTTTTCCAATAAGATTACTCATTTCTTCAATTGGATTTTTGCATTTTTTCTCAAATTATAAACTGAACGTCTGTCCTTTAAAAGCAAAGGGAATAAATGTTGTACACATTTTAGAAATACGCAATACGGAATAATTTTTCTCACTCGAAAATTGTATTATGCAAATATGTGATAGTAGCTGACTTTCTTCTCATTATTTTACTCGCCAATAACTTCATTAATTTTTCTTAAAATCTTTTGTTAATTTTGCTGTAATCCTAAACGTATGCAATAATTACAACATATTAATACAATATTAAGAAAACAATATAATATCACATTAAAAAACATTAAAATATTTTCGCTTGGAAATGTGCTACTTGGCAGAATTAATATTTTCATTATCTATATGATTCACGATTGGGCTTTTGAAGTTTCTAGTTTTATAATGAGTTTATTTTAAATTACATAGAGACTAGTTTAGAAATAATGTATATCAATTTATTTTGCCTTCATTTGCTCTGATTATTATTGAAGTTTTCATATGGTTTAATTTACTTTAATTTAAATTAAGTGTTGGAGCAGTTAAGTTTCGTAATAAATCTTTTTTAATGCTTCATAAGAAAATTCGATATTATTCAATTTTTTTCTTAAAACAAAAAATATTGTTTGCAATTATTGGAACGACAAAAATAATTTATAAAATTAATTAATTAATACTAAGTTTTGCTAAAATTATAAGTCTATTTGAATCTATATTTTTCGTAACCATATTACAGAGAAATTACATAAGGTATGAAAAATTATTTCTATACACGGGCACTTAGTTTCTCTGATATAATCATAAGTTTATGATAATATCTTTATCGTATATTACAATAATTTGAATTGCGCCCAATAATTATACTATTATACTGCCAGAATAGAAATATATACTATATACTATAATATATACTACAATAGAAATCATCAAATATTAAGTGCTCTTAATCGTGTATTAATCGCATTAATTATACAAAATCCAAGATAATGAAAAATTCATTATTACTTTTGAAAGAATATTAATATATATTGTTTAATAATCCAATTACATAATAAAAATTTTATATAAAATTTTACATATTATAGAATATAAGCTGATAATTTTTTTTTGTAAAGCAAATATAAGAAATAATGACTGTAGTACGACGCTCATACAGTGATAACAATTTTAATCTAGTGAACAAATATAAATAAAAATATTTTACATATGTATAAGTGTATATGGGTTGTTTTACGCCGCCCAACGTCTATAATATTTTATATTTCATTTCATACCCTCTTTTCTATAAAATTTTTCTTTTAGTTTAGAAAAAAGATGATATGAAATAGATTTTTAAGCTTTCAATAATGTAGTCCAGTCTATAAAAAAGCGATATTATTAATTTTATTGTGTGTATATACAAATCAATTGTATATGTAATATGGTTATATATAACGAAAATATAATTTGTACCTACATCTTTGATAATTTTTTTTTACATTTGAAAAATTAAAGTTTTCTAATCTTTCAATGTTTTTCATTTTAGTGTGTAATTCAAATTTGTTCATTTTGCCTATATGAATTAAATTTCTTTTAAAATTTGAGATTATTACTATGCGAAATTAAGTTTTTAGGACAAAAAAAAAAATAAATCAAATGAATAAATTGATTTTTTTTCTCAAACTTTTCAATGTATTAAGTCACCTTCATACTATTAAGCAAGTCATCATTATATAATGAGCTTATAAATCGTATATTAATATTTCATTACATCAGACGAAATTTGCGGTATTGTAGTTCATGATGATCATTGTTTATAGATACAGAAATTATTAAAAAAAATCTGTTTTCTCTTTCACCTTGAAAATAAGTTTTCAAGCTTCTTAGTTAAGCAAATTTATTTTTCAATTTAAGATTAAAATGTCAAATATCTCATAATTGTCAAATTTATATAATCTTATAATTGCCAATAATAATAATATACACGATAATTTATCATTAGCTATAATATTTTTTAAATGTATTAGTTCTGAAATTATTGTGAAATATAAAAATAATTATATTTGGAATATGGTATAGGTACCCTCGTAAATCATTTGATAAATATTACAGAAAAGCAGTTCGTTTGGGTTCTGTTGAGTCCAGTTGCTACATTCGATATCATATTTTATAATTTCTTTGATTAGATTCAAAAATATCATCCCATGGAACAGAAAGTTTATTGGAAACTTAATTGTAAATTCAAGAGTAAATTTTCGATTCCAAGAATTAAAATAAAAAAACAACAAATTTTTTTTTCATTGAGATTATCTTTTTAAAGAATACTTTATTATAGGCGATTTTTATATATCGATTTTGAGTAACATTTACTCTTAAGTACATAAAGAACTATAAATTAAATAAATTTCTAAATTAAATAAAACATAATGCAAGTTAATAATACAAATAATTTAACGTTATCTTCATTATTTACTTTTCCTTTTCTTATTCATTTCATTCGACCTCATCTCTCTTCTTAAATAAATAATAAAATTTAATAATTTTATATTTATATTTGACCATTTCCACACGTAATCATATAACAAGTATGCATGTATACAATTCTCGGTTTTAATTCACTTTGAATACGTTTTATATACTTTATACTCTACTTAGTTACAATAAAATAAGTTTTAAAAAATGGAAAATGTATGAAAATTATTAAAAGAAATTTATAAATAATATAAGATAAATTTAAAAAAAAAAATCAATAATACAAAAAAAAAAAAAATTCTAGAATTTTCTTTTTATAAAATTTACATGAAAATTAATGAATTTTGTAATTATTGAGTATTCTTGAGAAGTAGTAAATACTATTCATTTCTTAAAGCTATATGCATAGGTTTTCAAACCCTATAAATTATTATACGTTCTGCGTCGTTCCAATTTTATTTTTTGTACAATTCTTTATTGTTAAAAATAGTGAACTTTTTTTGTAAATTGAAAATTTTCCGCAACCAAATAGGTTTTTCTTTTTAATTCTGTAAATAAAAATAAAATAATATTTTAGTCCTATACTCAATTATTAATTGATAAAATGTGTTGTGACTTACATTCATCTAACACTGGGTAAACAAAAGTATTAGCCGAATCACGACCATGTGAATTTTCTACAATACACTTATATAATCCCATATCTTTCCATTGTAAATCTGTTATTATTAAATCACCATTATGTGTTACTGTAAATCTTGAATTATTTTCATTAACAATGTTATTATTAAAATCAATCCAAAATTTTTTCACTGCTGGCCTATGATTTGGATGTGATGTTTGACATGGTAACATCATACTAGAACCAATAGTACCCATAAATAATGAATAATTTTGAATAATTTTTGGTGATCTTAGATTACGTTTTTTAATATTAATATCATTACTATCGGCTGGTGGTCTTGGTAATATTGTTGTTTTTGTTATTATCTGTTTTCCGGTATGTAATGATGTTGCAATACATGAAAATGTTTCTTTTTGTTTTAAATGTTCAATAACAAGTACGGAACGTATTTTAACAATTGTTGCTGGATTTGGTGAATAATTTTTAAATGGATCAAGCTAAAAATTTATAAATAAAAAATAAATTTTAAAATTTCAATGAAATTGTCATAAGAAAATAAAATAGAAAAGAAGATACAAACGAATAAGATTTAAATGTGAAAATTTACTACATAGTAACAATAAATATAATACATATATGGATATTTACCTCAGCCATATTTCCTGGGACCCATTGTACACTAAGATCTGATGAACCTAATGCTTCACATTCAATTTCAGCTACTGAACCAATTTCATATTCAATAGTTTCCGGTGGATATTTTGTAAATTTCACAATTCCTTCTTCTTCTTTCTCTGATGATGTCAGACCATTCTCTCTTAAAACTTTCTCAATATGTGGTCGTGCTTTTATTTCATTTACCATCAAAGAGATTAAAATTGAAATAATAAGAATTGTTGCTCTTTTCTATATATAAAGGAAACAAAAAAAAAAAAAAAACAAAATGAAAAATAAATAAAATAAATTATTCTTATTGATTAAATTTAATTATAAAATTTTATTTGGACTATGAGTCCACTTAATTATAAATGTCAATATTTAAAGATTATGAAAATCAAAAATTATAACATACTTATAATACATAGATAGTATATATATAATTAATTAATATATTAATTTTATGTGTACATAATGTAAGTACTTATATGTTGAAGAAAAAACACGTGATTTGAACTTTCTTTATTCTTCTTTTTCTTTTCAATAATTTTTTTTTTTTATAATTTGTAATCAGTAATCACATATTTGCTTTTGAACCAAGAACTTTTACGCCTAAAATTTGTATGCCAATCAGTCTTATATATACATTCATATATATATATTTGAATTAGTGTAAATATGTTTTGTATATACATAAATATTTAAATTTTATATTTGATCAATTTAATTAATTGAAAAATTAAAACAAAAAAAAAAAAATTTGAATATATTGAAAAGGTCGTAAATTGAAAATTCGTAACCTATGTATGTTAATCAAAACGAGTTGTAACCAGTTTTTTTTTTATTATAATACTTAGATATATATGTACAATATGTAAATGGAAGTACTAAAATTTATTATAATAATAAAATTGACTATTAATTTAAATTACTTATGATTTTATTTATGATTAATAAAAATATTATTACGTTTTATAGTTTCATTTATTGTTAACGATTATGTTTTATTTTATTAACTAAATTAATTTTGAAAATGATTTATTTGCGAATGTTCTCATTTATAGACTGGTATTAATAAGTATATCATAGATATTATAAAAATTAGCGTTTAGAATTGAATTAGAGTAAAATATTCTGGTTAAATATATTGTGACGCACAATATGATTATAATTTTATTGTTTAAAAAACTGTGTTTATTGATTTTACAAATTCTATAATCAAACATAAAAAATTTACAATATACTAATTGGAAATTCATTCCGAAAGTCTTAAATACATATTAGGGTATATTTAAGCATTATTTTACAAAACAAAAATTTTAATCAATTTATAGAAATAATTTTTAAATAAGATTTATATTAATTAAATTTTGCTATAAAAAAATTTAATTAAAATAATTCTTTTTTTAGAAACGTGATTATTCGAAGATTTATTTTATATTATTTATGTATGTTACATTATATACATTATCCGAATATTATATAGATTTTAATTTATGTATTATATACATACATAATCTTAATAAAAAAGAAAATGCTTTTTAAACAAAAAAAAACTTACCAAATTCATTTTGCCTTTTATGTATTTGACTTTTTCTGATTTTCCTTGATTCTATATCTTTTTTATTTATTTATTTTTGTTTTTATAATATAAAATTAATTTCACAATTATTATGTAATTTCTCTTCTTATATGTATATAATATATAATTTTATGTCATGTGACCGATGATTTATTTAGTTTTAAATTTAACGTTATCAAATAGTAGTTACAATTGTCATTATTGAATTTTGCATTTATAAATGACATAAGGTTAAAAATAGCTTTAAAAATTTTTGCTATTTAAAAATTCAATTTTTATTTTGTACTTTTTTTTTTGTATATTCTCAATTTTTATTTTGGTGTTTTTTCTTTTATTTCCACAATTTCCTTGTTGTCTTTTTTTTGATTTTTTTCTTGTATTTCTTTTCTTTTTTTAAATAATTATATTAATAGATTTAAAAGAATAAAACAACGAAAAAAATATTATAAAAAAATATTCATAAAAGCAACCAAAAAGCAAATTATCAAAATTTATTCACAAAATGAGCGTGCACTTTTTATCTTTTTCTGATTTTATTTTTATATTTAATGAAAATGTTTTTTGTTTTTTTTTTAAATAAATTTCTTTTTTTGATAAATTTCTTTCAAATGTCTTTAATATTGTACTGCAATTTTATATATTTTATTTTATTTTTTTTATTAAAAATGTCTTTTAATTTGAATACTTAAGATTTTATGATTTAAATAAATTCGCTTGATATTTATTTCATTTTAATTTAATTGTATCAAAAATTTATTATTTTTTCTTTTCTTTTTAATTCATTGATATATTATATTTATAAAATTGTGTGTTTAAAATAAAATATTATTTTTATTTCCGCGATTATATTTTTCAATGTTAAATTCAATTGACCAGTTTGAGAACTGTGACAAAACTGAATGAGATAACTAAATTTTTGCTCCTTTATATACGAAACACACTGAAAATAAAAAAAAAATCAATGCTCGCTACTTTAGTTCAGTTACACTATAATTGTATTGTGTATGATTGTCACTATATGTGCGATGTTCTCTTTTAAAATATTTTTATATTAAACAATTCAATTTATAAATAAAAACAATAAAAATGAAACGAATTGAGTTGAGAAGCAAAAAAGAAAAAGAAAACAAATACAAATATAAATCTTATCTAAATAAAATCTTTTCTCAAAAAAGCAAAAAAAAAACAAAAATTAGAAAATTGGATCTTTACTTTACATATTAATCTCCCTACCTTATATACATACCTATCTATTTACTTATATATTACCAGCAGTTTACAATGAAAGAACACAACTCTTAGTGACCTTTGAGGTTCCCGGTAACAAATTACAGTTATTAATCTTTTCTCACTTTTTCACAAATTTACCTACATACATAAATATTATATACTACATATATAAATACAGCAACAGCAGGAAAAAAAAAAATAATAAGAAAAGAAGAAGAAAAAATTTTTATTTTCTTATTATATTTTTTTTTTTTTTATTGCAAGATAAATTTTTAGTGGTGACTTTCTCACGTAATCGATCAATGATAATATTGTATGTAAGTATGTAAGTAAGTATCTTTAAAATTTAGTCATTTTGAAATTCAAATGAAAAAAAAAAAAAATTTTTTTTTTAGTTTTTTTCTTTGTGTGTAATATTAGGAAAAGGCATAGGTTAGAGAAATTAAATGGAAATTTTCGGCGAAAATATCTTTAATTATATTTTATACTATTTTATTTATAACTAAATATACATAATATTATGTACGTAGTTAAAATGAATATTTCTCTTATCACATCATCATTTTCGAGGTCAAATTCTCAAAAATGTACTTGTCCCTATATATGCTTAGTTTTTTTTTAGAATGGAACATATATAGTAAGTATTTGTATGTAACAAGAAATTGAAGAAATTTACTAATAAAATATTGAAATTAGTATTTAAATAAAAGTATAAGAATGTCATTCAAGGCACAATTTTTTGACCGGAGGGTTCTGGAAATTTTTTTTTTTGGTATTTAGGAAAATTGCAAAAAAATTGCCAAATTTTTTTCTAGTGTAATTTAATTTGAAAATAAACTTGTGAATAATACAAGTTTCCTGGCAAGAATTTTTATTAAAAAATTCATTAATTGTTTAAAAATTTTTTTCTCCTTTAATTTTCAAATATCATGAGATTCTTTCCTTATATATATGTACCTTTACCTATTATATTCAGATAAAATATTTTGCGAATATTCGAGAATATTGCGATTATTAACTGCGATCAAAATTTTGTTTAAAATATTTGGTTATTCAGTTTTTGATGTTAAGAAAAATTAATATTTTCAACTTTAATTTCATTTTTCTTTCTACGAAGACATGTTTTGCAATAAATATATGCTTTTGGTCGAGCACAGCAACAAAGTTTAACCATATTAGATGATTAATTGATATTTGACGGTTTTTGAATAAATTATAACGTATGCTGCTTAAACGAATCAGGTTAGAGATCCACATGTAGGTGACACTGTTTATTCGTTTCGTTTCACATAATTTTATAAATTTTGAATGATTGTGGCTATTTCGTTTCTTTTCGCACTACTAGATACGTAATAGGTAAAATTTTGATTCATTAGCTATATATTTTTTTCAATATTGTTACCAACGTGATCAGATGATTTAATTATATATAATAAAAGTGTACAGTAATTATAGAGTAGAAAAGTATCAATTTTATGCCTTTAATTTTTGAAAATTAATTCAAATTATTTTTGTTTTAAAATAGTTTTTGACGTCTACATGATTTTTATTTACAATTTTCAATATTCTTTTTATAAAAATTTTATAATTATAAATTCAATACAATTTATTGTATTATTTTCATAAATTTATTTTATAAAATCATAAATTTCTAGTATATATAGGTATATATTTATGTATACTATTTTGTAACATTACAAAAATCTACTTAAGATTATTTAAAATTAAATTGAAACCACGAAAGTTAAAAATTTCCATTAAAACATTTTATTTTCTTTTGTTATATAGTATTATCGTTAAAATACTCGCATTGTATTTTCTGTGCTATATATGAAATGCACACATGTAATGGGTGATTTTTTTAGAAAAATTGCTTATATGTTCATATACAAATTTTTCTTTGATTCGGTAACGTTATTTGATTAAATGATTATGAGGTTTTAAGTGTTCTCAGAAAAATAATCTAGAAGTCTTGATCGCTACTACTTAGGTCTAAAACGTTGTATGTAATAATTAGTTATCGATAACCTTATTAAATAATATTTTTTCAATTTTTTAAGCTTCAGTTTCTCTGTATTGGAATGTCAGAATAAAACTTATTGAATTTGACAGTGACATTGTAATGAATCACGCGTAAATGACAAAATCCCCCGTTATTAATTTTGTATATATATACTAAAATCTATACCTGACATTTCGCTGATTAAACGGAAATTTTTTTTTTTGATTTCTTAACTATTAAAGCTAATTCTTTTTTTTTACAGATAATTACTTTTGTTTAAATTCCTACTGTTTTTTATTTCGTAACATCTAAAACTATACTATAGGTATTATATCGAATTGCTGTATAACAGACTGGTAACATATACATTTACATTTATAGGTATATATTTTTTTTTGCTTTTTACAATACCATAAATCACTATAATATGAACAGTTTCTAAATTATATTTTATATACCTAATATACTATTTATGTATATATGTACATAAACTTTATAATATTATGTATTTGAAGTTTTGCCGATTTCTATGAATGAAATTCTCTTTTAGAACAAAGCTTTTTCATAAATGATTTATTAAATTATCAAATATATAATTTAATATAAATGTTGATTTATATATACATATGTATATATATATTTATACATTTGTACTAAATATGAATGTGTAATAAATAATAATATAATTTCAATTAAAAGTGATCATTTGAAGATTAAAGTGAAATTTTATAATATTAGTATGTTTGTAAGTACATATATGTATAATAAGAGGACTTTGATATTATTTTAAATTAATAATTATAATATAATATTAATTGCTTTATAATATATATTTTGCACATGTAATTTTTTATTATAGTGAAATCACAATTTAAACTATAATAGGTAATCATTTAAGTTGAAATGAATTTAAAAAAAAAAAATAGAGCACAATATTTATTCATTAGTTATTGAAATTTTCGATTTATATTTCATCATACTTTTTTATAAAAAATTATTTTAAGATATACAATAAAACTTTTGATATGTATCAGTAAAATTTTAATGTATAAATAAAATTTCATCAGAATATTTTATTAAAAATATAACGCTATCATATCCTTTTTTTTTTATTAAAATTTACCTGAACAGTTCATTCATATTGCTATCAATATTATAGACGTATATACATATATTTACATATGTATGCAAGAATGTTAATACCTAATAGTTTTTAAAAAAAAAGTTTACACAATAATCGCTCTCTTATTTATTTTCAGTTATCTCTTTTTATTCTTCTTCTTCTTCTTCTGCTTCTTTTTCTTATCATTATACGAGTATTATAGTTTTTATGTTTAAAAACACGTGGTATGCTTTAAAGAAAATATAAAAATTTAACACGTGAGAGAGACTAAATTTATGTATAGTTGAAAACAAACATACATACATACATTTTTATTCTATATGCTCAACATAATTACATATACACAGTGGCCATAAGTATACATACATAGAATATTTTTATGTAACGACAATTTATGTTTACATTATTATATACATACATATATTTTCATGAGCATATTTCATTTAGCACTTAAACATCTACCTAAATATATTGAATAATGTAGGCAACATACATAAAATAATTTTTAAATTATAGAATATAATATTATGAATGAGCGTGTTGTGATGTAATAGATAGGATGATGGTTTAGTTGTGTAAATAAAATTTCGGCTTTTTAAAAGATCTGTCATCGATAAGGATATTTAGTTTCTGCTTTTTTCTATTTTTTTTTATTTTTTTTCGGAGAATATTTTGTATAGGTACATTTCCTAGTATTTCAATTTAAATTTTCATATACATACATATACAAGAATATTACATAATCCTCAATGAATCTAAATTTTGTCTATGTATTTATGTATAAATTTTAAACATAAATTTCGTCATACGAACATTATTTGTATGTAGGTACTTCATACTTTTCTTCCTTTATTATTTTGTTGATAAGTTGTTTAATTGAAGAATTTCAAATGAAGAAGTTTGAAATTTTTAATAAGATTTTTACCATTGTGCATACCTACCAAATAAACATTCGTTAAAAGTGAACTTTTCTTTTGAAAGCGAAGTGGTCTGTCTGGTCAGACACTTCAATTCGTTTTGTTTTTTAAGTTTAATGAATAATGTTTAATGTTAGAAAATTTTTTATCATAAAATTTTTATTTTGCTGGAGGGAAAATATATTGTAATTTAATATTTTATGCAGAAATCTTGATAATACGAAAAGAATTTACCTAAGTTTTGAGGGCATAATT